AATAGAGATAGGTAAAAAATACGTGGAAAAGAAGATACCAGCAGACTCAAGCCAGTGCAGAGCATGCTTTTCCGGTACAGGGTTGAGAGTGATATGCCATGCTTCCATGTGCTGCAGGACTCAATAGAACAGTAAAAAAACATATCATCAAACACTAGACAGAGAACCAAACAAAGATTTCAGAAACTGAAATCTAAATGCATTAGGACAATGATCCTACACCTGTAGAGCAACACCCATTTCCTCCCTTTGACAAGTGATGGAAGGGAAGCATATAGTATGATCCGGTTTTTCTGCGAAAGAAGCAATGACTTATCAGACATGTCTGGGAGTTCAGCTACACTCTCCATCGGCCTTATATTTCCTCCATCCCGACTTACATCATTACCATCAGTAATAGCTTCAGACTTGGGCATTCTCTCCGATGCTTGATTTCGAAACCATGCTAATCTGGCAGCATAATTCATAGCTTTACCAATAGACTGTCTCCCCTTAGAAATCAACCCTCTCTTTCCACCACTCTCTCTAACAACACTCACATTTTCGGGTTCTGCCTTTACATGTTCAGGTTTAATTTCAGCTCTAATATCACTTTCAGGTTCAGATGCAGATTCATCTTTTACAGGTGCATTAATATTATTCTGCTGCCCGTCATCTCTTTCGGCACTAAAGTAATCATCTTTTAAAAGAGAATAAAGGAATGCAGTGAACGATGAGGTATCAGGTCCATCAACTGAAGTTACAGAACCCTCTTCACAAATTGATACAAGCTGACTTTCCTCTGAGTCAATATCATTATTCTCCTAAGAATATAAACAAAATGGATTAATTAATGCACATTTAAACAAAAACCCACAATCCTAATTTCCATTAAGATAAACCCTAAAGCATAAAAAATAACAAAAATACAAGAATTTATGAAATGGGTAAATAGAAATTGCTTCAACTTCAGCTCAAGTACCATCAAACCAATTAAATTAAACTCAAATCAAACAATAAGACCCATGAAATTGCTTCAAATAAAGCTCAATTAACAACAAAACCCATGAAATGAAATTGCAGAAAAATTTCAAAAAATCATAAAAAACCAAGAAATTGCAACAGAAAACAAGAGAGAGAAAAAGACATACAGGAGGAGAAGGGGGATTCTTGGAGATTTTATCAGAAATGGGGTTAAGAAGGACAGTGGTGAGGTCAGAGACGAGATTTACTGCTTTACTACGAAAAGATCGTTGCTTTCCCATTTCATTAGTTCAACCCAGAAATTACCAATCATCAAATACCCAAAACAAACATCTCACAGGATCATCTAACAGCAAAGTGATGAGAAAAAAACAATGGATAAATTGTTCCCAAAATTGGAAAATTTGTCTATTATCTAATTGTCAAATGAGATTATCTGATCTTTCTATTTATTTAACTCGAATTTAAATGAGAAGCCCAAACCCTGATTAGGTAGCTAGTCTTCATCAGATTTTCTGTATTGGCTTCATTACAAAGTTACCGAATACTCCGTAATAAGAAATACATTTAAGTTAAATTGAGACTCTTTTAACAATATGACTCCATGGCCCAATGGATAAGGCGCTGGTCTACGAAACCAGAGATTCTGGGTTCGATCCCCAGTGGAGTCGTCTTTATTTTTCTTGGCTCATTCAAATTTTTTAATAGTTAATTTTATTTTTTTTAATGTACCAACAACTATTTTGGTTCATAAGCGTATGGAAGGACAAGGGATTTAGGGGGCGTTTGGTATAAATTCCATAAATGGAATGGAAAGGATTTATATAAGTAAGGGAAAAGGTAATGATACACGTTACCTTTGATACATGTTTGGTATCTTTATAAAATGGAAACAAATTGAGGAGTTTATGATTGAAGAGGGAAACACATTTTTTTTTCCACTAGTTGGATAAGGGTAACAATTTGGGGGATTTTGTTACCCTTTGGAAATGGTATTTGTTACTTATAGCTCATACCAAACTAATAGAAACGAAAACACTTATTTGTTTACGTTTCTTATGTTACAAATTTTCATACCAAACACCCCCTCAATTCTTAATTTGGGATTCATTTATTCATTCAAATACAATTATACAAGCTTATTGTCAGGATGTTTTCCGTGTTGATATGAAAAAACATTTTAATATACAATTACTATATTATTACACTCATTAAAGTCGTAAACATGATCTTTCTTTTCATGGTAACATCATAATGTACAATTGTTTAGTAAAGCGAAAGTATATTATTGCGACTTATTAGTAATTAATACATTTATAAAAAGAAAAAAGAAAAAAAAGAGGTGCCTAAAAAAGGTGAATGATCTGTTAGCAGCTAGCACCACGTCAAGCAGTGTAATAAAAATGTAAAGACTTTAAGATGACAATTAGATAAACCCAAACCGAGTAAAGCAATCCCTGAGAAATTGCGGAGGTGTCTGATCGTTACAATTTTGTAATATCAATCGCATCATTCATTTTTTTTTTGTAATAAAAAATTGATTGAATATCCCTACATTCATCCCCTTTAGTTTCCCTATATATATCCCATATCAATAACAGTCAACATCTCAGGAGATCCACATTATTCCATCATTCAAATCACAAAAAAAAAAAAAAAAAAAAAAAAAAAAAAAAAACTAAGATCTCAACAAAAATGGCTACCCTCTCTGTTCCTGCTGCTCTCCCTGATGTTGCTGAGGATGTTGAGCAACTCCACAAAGCCTTTTCTGGTCTATATTCTTAATCTTTATTATTGATTATTATTTTCTATTCAACGTTTGAAAATTTGTCGTCGTTATTAATTAGCTTAGTTGGTTAAAGTTTTGGTGGTAATGTCTTAGATGAAATTCCGTCTACGATCTTGTAGATGGATTATTCATTGATGTGAAATGTGAAATGAATTTATTATGTTGTTGTAGGATGGGGAACGAATGAGGAATTGATCATAACAATATTGGCTCATAGGAATGCGTACCAACGCAAGTTGATCCGTGAGTTTTACCAGGAAACTTATGGTGAAGATCTCCTTAAAACGCTCGACAAAGAGCTTACTAGTGACTTTGAGGTGATTTATTTATTTGAATTCTTTTATTATATGACATTGATTGAATGATGATGAATAAATATGGGTTTTGCATAAAAATTAATGGTGTAATGTATAATATATGATCAATTGTTGTTTTGATCTCCTGTATTAGAGGATAGAATTATAAAATTCGATTTTGATCACGAAGAAATTGTTTAAATTCTTAGGGTTGGCCTAGTCTGAGGTACTGATCAAATCTCGTTTACATCATTGTCTTGCATGTCAACCAAGAATTGTGAATAGTTGGTGATATTAGAATCTCTTGTATGAGTTGGGTGACTAGGGTCTAAAAAACAATATGTCAGAAGAAAGTATGAAGTAAAATGTTTGTTTGAATGATACAGAGGGCAGTTCATTTGTTTACCCTGGATCCTCCTGAGCGCGATGCATTTTTGGCTAATGAAGCTACTAAGAAGTTCACTTCCAGCAATTGGGTTCTCATTGAAGTTGCTTGTACTCGATCTTCAGAGGATCTCTTCAATGCTAGGCGAGCCTACCATGCTCGTTACAAGAAATCGATTGAAGAGGATGTGGCTCAACACACCACTGGTGACTTCCGCAAGGTGCAGTTGATTACTATTTTCCCTATATACTGCATTTGATCGAGTCAGTTTTAAGGAATTGAACAAAATGTCATACTTAGCTTATTAAGTTTTATATCATAGTCATTACATATTTACATGTTGTCTTTCTTAAACTTAAATCTCATGAACTACATTTGATGCTTGTATGTTGTAACTAGAAGTTATACAGTTGTCTAGGATGAAGTGTTTCACATTTGGATAGCAAATTATACAAATTGATGGAATATTTGGCTGTAATAATGTTCTTATGACTAAAGGTCTATTAAATTGAAGCATTTCAATTATCTTTTGCAGCTTCTGGTTGCTCTGCTGACCTCGTTCAGATACGAAGGGCCTGAGGTTAACAATCATCTGGCAAAATCAGAGGCTAAGATACTTCATGAGAAGATCTCAGACAAGGCTTATGCTGATGACGATCTCATCAGAATCATCGCTACAAGGAGCACAGCACAGCTAAGCGCCACACTCAACACCTACAACAATGAGTATGGTCATGCTATTACCAAGGTATATTGTCTTTCAGTGTTGCTACTATTATGTTATAATTACTGTTCTTATATCTGAGATCGTTTTATGTCAACTATCTGCAGGATCTTAAGGAGGATCCTAAGGATGATTACTTGAAGTTGCTAAGGGCAACTGTCAAGTGCCTGACATGTCCTGAGAAATACTTTGAGAAGCTTCTTCGTCTTGCTATAAACAAGACGGGAACAGATGAATCAGCTCTAACTAGAGTTGTGACCACCCGGGCTGAAGTTGATATGCAGCGCATCAAGGAAGAGTATTATCGCAGAAACAGCGTTCCTCTTGATCGTGCTATTGCTAAGGACACTCACGGAGATTACGAGAAAATGCTGATTGAGCTGGTTGGTTCTGAGAATGCTTAAACACCTACCTGAGGATGGTCCTTGCTCTGGTTGATGCTTTATGTTTTGTACTAGCCGCTGCTATGGTTGGATTTTGCTGTTTTATTGTACTTCCAAAAATCCAAAATCCGGTTGAATAAAGTTTTGAATATATGGGTTTTATACTTCTAGTCCAATGGAAAATTTGAGAGTAATTGAGACTAATGTACATCAGGCAAGAGAGGTAAAGTTTGAGCTTACCTGCCTCTATGCTTCGGCCCAAATCTAACAGTAATATTTTTAAGAGTATAATCATCACAAAAATACTAAAAGTCTATAAAATAGTACTAAGCTACTATATTTTACCATAAAATTCTTTTAATGGAACTCACAAGAAATTCTAATGAAACATAACACACTTATTTTCTGGTTGAAATGACCATAAAATGCTTGTGATATTCAAAGCTAATTTACTTTAAGATGACCGAAAATCAACTTGTATAACTGCATAGGTTATCACAGCCTCACAGGGTTAGATGGTGAGCAACCATTTGGTAATCAGAATACAGCACTCAAACAGCAAGAACTCAAGGTAAACGCATATAGTCCTACATTAAATGATCTGATGAAGTCCTAAAATAACTGCAAAACATGCAGAAATCCTAATAATTAACATAATGCCATTACATGGCAAGTCTGAAGCTAATTTATTCAGGGTACAAAGTCAAAACCTGCTACCGTGTTGGTTAGCTAGCTAGCTAACAAACCCCTCAAGGGGCGCTGCACAAAAGGCAGGAAGAGCTCTTGCCAGTCCTATCAGATAACAGTTGGTCAATATATAGCCATGATTACTGATTAACACAGGATCTTAAACTAAACTAATGCTGCTTTCTCCACCAGGAGGCTTGCGCACACCACCAAAATAATCTCGGGGTTCTACTTTCTCTCCCTCAGCAAATATATTGCTCCCACTCATCTCTCTCAGCTTAGCCTTGCTGAGATGCTTCTCTGCTGACTCTGCAGGAGCATCCCCCTTAAAGATGTCGTTACCTGTCAGCTCTTGGAACTTCTGGTTATGAAGCTTCCTTGTTGACTTGACAGCAGGATCATCACCAAACATAATATTACTCTGTCCTCCAGCAGGCTACAAAAAGAGAAAATGTTAATGATCTACTTTGCAAGAAAACTTCTCAAATACTAAAATGGATGACAATACTTGAGACTTACAGCTATAAACTTTTATCCTTTGACAAAACTGTCAAGTTTATCAGTACAGTAGCCACTAATCAGGCAATTCAATTAACACGCATATAAATTTCATATTCAAATGTATTCTGTTACGGTCCTCTAGAGCCTACCTTCCTACAATCATTGTCCTCCAAACACAGATAGCAAACTCAAGGCAATGCACAATAAAGGTTATATTTAAACAAGTGATCCCGAATTGCTGACCACACAAACAGAACATACGGGGAAACCAACTTAGTACAGCCAGAGCATAGAAAAGATTGAATCACGCTCTTAAAACTAATTATACTCACATTGGAAACTCTAACAGATGTCCGGACAGTTCGTGGTGCTGGCTCACCCATGTCCTTTTCTTTTGACTCCAATGAACGTGCAACAGCCAATGATCGAGGAAGATTTTCCGGAGGTGGGCCAAAAATGTCATTTCCACTGAGTTCCTTGCACTTGGCATCTGACAGTCCCTTTTTGATCTTTGAGTCTGCCTCAGCTTCCAGAGTGCCACTCAATTCACGTTGCTTTGCAACCTCTGGCAGAGACGTAGGCTTCTTGGGGATCACACTTTCATCGACACTAAAAGAAATCTGGCTAATTCCATTGACAGCTTGCTGCAATTGGCAGTTACAAGAGAAAGGGTCAAGAGTTGATCCGGTGTGTCATTACAAGAATATATACTTTGTATGAAGTATATTAATGAAAATAAACCTGATAAACTCTCAATCCAGTTTTATTTGAATTGGGATTAGCACTCCCAGATTCTGCTGTAGTATCATCTTCAGAACCCGCAAATATTCCACTTCCAGTCATCTCCTTCATTTTATATCCAGAACAAGGCTTCCTGAAGTAGCAAATGAATAGGTCAGTTATGCAGAGAACTAAATGATGCAGAGGTCTCAAGAACCTAATGTCTAATAAAAACAATTAGTCCAGCACTAATATGAAAAGGGCAAGGCTGATTTTGTAAAAATATGAAAAAGAAAAGAGCTGCTGAATTCGGATCATACAAGATATTGAACACAACCAGAATGTAGCTGGGTCAGCATATAGTCCATGTGATGAACTAATAAGGTTTGGGCTGGGCATCCTCTAATGTGAAGTCAATGTCTTTATTGACATATAGTTATTCAGCAAAACAAGATTGATGTAGGTCATGTAGCTAGATCTACATAGCCAAAATGATGAACAGCTAAAATTACAATTCACGGATTATCACCTAGCTTCACTTACTAACCAATGAGTAATTTTGTAACACCTATCAATTAGCTTTTGGATGCAATTTGAGCGCCAATATCAACATTGCAGTTAGTCCTCTTTGGAAGACATATTGGGTCAACCAAAAACGGAGCTAGAAAAGGTATCAAGAAACTTAGATACATGCATGGCAGGGTTTTGTCTATACGAACAGAAAGACCTGGTATGGAATGTAACTTACACACATTATAGATTTATAGCCAGCTGGGAGCAATGTAATCGAGTCTTGAATCATTCATACTATTTAGCACCATTATATAGAAAGTAGGAGTTTCCACAGGTTAATGAACTAGTGCATAGGTTCTATCATACATGCAGGAGGCTTATAGAAGATGGACTTCTATGCTAACAGCAACGACCATGGTCATGAAGCTTCTTAATGAAAGCAACTTTAAATCTATGGATTTCTATGCTTCCATTCCATGTATTAATAAAGCGTGTTCTAGAATTTCAAGTTGTAAATTGAACTTAGGTAGCCCTTATCGGCCAACTTAACTTATCAAAACTTATTAGCCCTCATTAGAACTTGATTTTCACAACATTGACATCTTTTACTTGGGTATCCATCAAAAAGTACAGATGAATCATGCCTTATGCTTTACATAGTTAGCTTATAATAAAATAAATAAATAACTCAAACATCAACTAAGCCATTTTTCAAATCCATTAATTTATATAATTTGGTAGGGTTTATGGAGGCATTGCTACATCTAAACAAAATCAAATTTAAAATCCGATTTAAGAATTAATAATCCGTCACAACAAAATGTAATGTCTACAAATAAATCCACATTTGTACTGGTTAGAACCTTTTTTTATTTTATTTGTAAATGTATTTTTCAACAATAGTTTTGTTTAAGATTAAACTAATATTAAAAGGAATCTAAGCAAAGAATATAGCAAATAAAAGGAAAAAAAAAAGGTAATAAATCTGGAGAAAAACAAGCAGATCGTATACCTCTTAGCAAGACTCTCAGCTTCCTCCTCACTGATCTGACCACCAAACAACACCTTACTCACCGCATCCGACGGCTGAAATTAAACATTCAAACAACACATTCAATCAATTAATCAACAAAACCCTAAATCAGGTGCAAATTAGATCTTACACTCGAGAGCATGATACGAAAAAACATAAAGTTGAAATTAAATGAACAAAAAATTAAAAATATAATTAAAAAAAATAGTACCTGGTGAGAACGAGGAGCAGAGGAAGGAGCAGGAGAATGAGGAAGAGGAGTTTCAGTCCAAGTAAGGAGATCAGCTGTTGAAGTGTGAGATTTTTTACCAGCTGTTGCTCTTTCCGCCATTTTTTTCTATCTTCTTCTACTTTCTCTCTCCTCTGTTTTTTTTTTTTTTTTTTTTTTTTTTGAGCTAGGACTGAATGAGTGAAGAAGGTGAGATCATATGAGTTTTATTGGGTTTTATTATGATTTGATTTTTCAAATGAATTTGAAATTTGTAATGTACTCTAAGTAGCTGCTACTGTATTTTTAAATATTTAAATTATGGATTGCTTTATTAATCAACTTCAAATTTTATTCTGTAAAGATTTTCTTAGTCAATCAGTCACAAGCTTTTGGTGAATGAAGGAGCTAGTGTACTCTATCTACTTGTTCAGAGTCATTAATGTCATGGTTGGTATTCTTAGGATTTTTACAAAATTACCTTCCCAAATAAAAAAAAATTTATTTTACACAGTATTTTTTACGAGTACAAATTTACAACGGAGTAATACAATTAGAGGTTGCCCCGGTCAATCTCCATGATAAACAATCACGGAGTAAAATTGCTACCTCAAGCAATGATTTCAAGGCAAAACCGTAGCAGTTTTACCCATTTTCATAACAAAAATTACACTTTTGTCCCCGTAATAAACAAGAGATAAACTTGTCTTTTCTCGTACACTAACACTTCTTCTATTTTTTTTTAAAGCTCACTTCGTCAAAGAGCTAGGAAGTACGGAGTACTAGACTACTAATTAGTAATTACTTTACATTATAACAGGCTTTGGTCTCCATTTCTAGAATCATAAAGTGGCCCAACATGGTCTTGCTAGCTAGCGCAATGGCCCAACTTCTTACTAAGGTACATGCTAAATGGGCAATCCTAAAATCTAAACAATCTTGTAGTTGAAGAATATTGAATAGTAATATTGCAAAAGAATTGAAGTATATGCAAATCAGAGCAATGATACATATATGAGCATAATAGCAGAATTGCATTGATTGATTGTTACCAAATCAACATCTAAATTAGTGCACTAAGTAATTCTATACATGTACTCACTAATCACCTAAACCAAAAATAACAGTGTAAACAATAGCTAAAAGCCATCTAAAGTTGCACCAATCAAAATCAGCTCATTATCAACACAAGAAGAGCAACACCCTTCATTAGAGTTGCACCCACACTCTTTCCATCCATTCATACGCTCTCTTCTTCTCATCTTCCTCATCTCTTCCTTGGACGCCACGCTCACCACCGGAACTTCTACCTTCATTGCTATCTGCAACGCCGGTGGCTTAACTCCGTCTTCAAAAGTTTTAAGCAACTTATTACCATCATGATTGACAGTCATAACAGCCCACCTCTGAAATTCCATTTTCGGCGCATTAAAGACATTCTTCCAAGGCATCTCAGCTGTTGCTAGGAGCTGAGACCCGCCAATCTTCCCTAGAAAAGCCTTGGTGTTTCGCCACCTAAGCTCGAATAACACACTTGCTTCCTTGAGATTATTGATTGAATCCTCTGAACCATTGCACTCTATTGAAAAAGTGTCATCCCAAAAGATGTAATCATCTTTTTGATGAGCAGAACTTATTTCTTTTGTGTTAACCTGAATTTTTCTGTTGTTGCTTCCTACTGAAAGGTAGCATCTAATGAATAGATTACCTTTGTGTTTTACTTGTATGTTTTTCGCTCCAATGATCTTTAACTCGAATTTTAGGGAGGAGGAATCCATTAAACAAGACGAAGATGTAGAACGATAATAATACTCGAAATAATAATATGAGAAATAATGAAATAGGGTTGGATTGGTATGTTTTTGTGTTTAGTTTGAGTTGAGGCTAAAATAATGCAAAACTGTGTATATATATATGGGAGAATAAAGGTGTTTTTAAAGTGATGAGAAGGCAACCAACTTTGAAGTGGAAGGGAGATACACTTGACAAAAAACTAGTGGCAAAGTATACTTCTTTGAATCTTCCACCTTTAATATGATTGAAATAGAGTGGATTTGTGATTTAGGAGATTTTTAGGAGGGATTATATAATCATATAGTTTATAACAGTAATTCACCCCTTCTATTACATGAAGGGATCCGATTTTTATATTGACCCTTGCATTTTGTTGTTAGCTTTTTCATCATACTCCGTATTTGAGTTGTTGAAAGTATGACGGTTTCTTTGTTAGTGGTGGTGGTGGTTTGTGTTAGTTGAGTTAAATCCACCATTCAGTTAAAGGACCGACAGACAAAAAATATCGAACCCACATGTGAGTTGGTACCACTTGTTTCACATTGAAAAAATAGATAGAAAATTAATGATACATACAACTAAAACCCAATATAAAATTGAATTTTATTGATTTTATATGTGGTCATACTCTCTTCTAAATAGATATGTATATATATGTATATGAATATATATTACTTAACTCATTATTTTGAAGGAAATACATAACATGAAATTAACTCTTATATACACATCATGGATCACCTTTTGTATCTCTCTTTACACCAAAAAAAAATATACTTGTTGTTTGGGTCCAATTTAGTCCAATTGGGCCTAGGCATTAAATGATCCAATTAAAAGCCCAAGGTCAAGGTTCAACTCTCCAATTGTGCTAAAGTCAAAGGTCAGCCCTCAAAGCAAGCCAATTGGGCTAAGGCCCAACCTCTCCATGAATGAAGAGGTATAAAAGCCATCAATATTCATACATTCATGGAGGATTCATAGATTCATATATTCTCATATATTCAAGAAAAACCTCAAGCAACTAATTCTCTTGCATAGTGCTCTCTTTCTACACATTGTACTGACTTTAGCATCGGAGGGGCCTTCCTCGGCAACACCCCCGAGGCTAGTTTACGTGTGTTTACTGTGAGGAAACCTTCGGCCCAGCATAACTTGGACCGAATCCAGTCTTCTCCGTTTCAACGGACCTTCGGCAAGGTCCCATTGTTTTCACCCGAAACAATTTGGCGCCGTCTGTGGGGAAGACTTTCAAAAATCTTTAAGCCAAATTTCTAACCAAGATCATCTTGCAATTATCTTAGTAGCAATGGCTAAGAACCGCAAGAGCAAAAGCCTCCGTCAAGGAGCGGGCGAAAAGCCTAAAACCCGTACACCATCACCCTCGCCGGACCGGAACTCTCCCAAGGGTGCCAGCTCGGGGGGAGGATCATACAAGGAGGATTCCCTTTCTCCCGTAATTCATGACTCTCATTATAGGCCGAGTCACTCTCGGTCTAGCAGGGGTGAGTCCGATCATAGGACACATTCAGTGCCCCAAAGCCAACCATCGGCTGCGCGCCCTCATTCCCATACTCGGCCGAGGACCCCTTTGACGGGGCCCAGCTCGGAAGAGGTGGCGAGAGCGCTGGCAGTGCTCATGGAGGCGATGAGGGCACAAAATATGCCACCACCTCGTGATCGAACTCCTCCGCATACCCGGCATCAGCGGAGGAAGTTAGACCATGATGGTGGGAAGCTTCCTTCCTTCCGGAAACTGGAAGAGTGGGAAGAGGATTCCTGGAAAAATGAAAAAGAGAGGAAAAAGAACCCTCAATTTTTAAAAGGATCCTCATCCTCAAGACCAGAAGCGCATAAGAGCAGCAGCTCAGCTTCTCGGCCAGAATCTACTCACCGAGAACCTGAGACTGTTCGCCGAAGCGTCCTTGACCGACTCGGCGGCAAGGAACCAAGCGTGCGCAGTCACCTCTCGTTCCCTGCAGCCGAGGCCCAGACTTCCCAGCCAGGGACGAAAACCACTCCTACCTCTCTAAGAGGGCGGAGCGCGGTCCCTTCGGCCAGGAACAAGGGCAAGGCCGTTATGCTACCCGCCAGTTCACCATTCGAGCAATGGATACTGGAAGAGCGCGTACCCACGGTTAAAATACCGTCGCACATCACATATGACGGGACCTTGGATCCGAAGGATCACGTGGCCTCGTATGAGACTCATATGCATTTTTGCCCCAGATCCGAGGCGACTTGGTGCAAATATTTCCCAACCACTCTCAAGGGGGTCGCGCAAGCGTGGATCTCCAAGGGAGTAAGGCAAGGCTCCATAACAGGGTGGGATGATCTGTCCTCCAAGTTCAGGAGCAAGTTTTCCACGGCAAACCGCCGAGAGAAGACTACTGCAGAGCTCATGAGTCTACAACAGGGGGAAACCGAAAGCCTCCGAGACTATCTGACCCGTTTCAGTAACGAGTCATCCAGCGTCTCTCAGCTGGACCAGGGGCTAGCCGTTTTTGCAATGCAGAATGGCCTTCAGCCCGGAAAGTTCCTAGACTTCATGGTCATGCATACCCCGCAGACCTTGGAGGAAGCTCTGAATGCCTCGGATAAGTTCATCCGAGCCGAAGAATGGAACAAAGAGAAAACCCAACCTCAATTTGGGGGAGGGAAACAAAGGCAAATACCCTTGTCTGAAGGCCAAGGCCATAAGGCAAAAGGAAAGTCAAAGGCCTCGGAGCAATCTTTGGCCAGCGACCCAAAGAAGGAAAGATCTGCCTCATACACAGGCAGATACGAGTCCTACACTCCGCTCTCTCTTCCCCGCGCCAAAATTTACAGCGTGACGAAGGAGGAGCAGAGTTACCGAAAGCCGAGACCACTCCCAGAGTGGTATCAGCGAAAAAATAAAAATCAGTGGTGCGAGTTCCACGAGTCTTCGGGACACAACACTGAGGAGTGTATCCAACTGAAGGACCAGATAGAGGACATGGTCCGGAAGGGATACTTGAAAAAATACATCGCGGATCACCGCGAGAAAAAAGAATCCGAGAAGTCAGCAAAGGACTCTCGGCAAGACCTCGACTTCCCCCGGAAAAACAGTAAAAAGACGGAGGGGAAATTCCCTCCGATCAATGTTATCTCGGGAGGAATATACTCTCGGAGGGAGCACAAGCGACACCTTAGAGCTTTGACTCACCAGGTGAACAACGCTGACATTCAATCTCCCCAGTCGCCGGTGCCGAACATGACGTTCACAGCCGCCGACTGCCGGGGGATTACGTTCCCTCACGAGGATCCGTTGGTGATCATCGCCACGGTGGCCAACCACGACGTCAGTAAGGTCCTTGTTGACGGTGGCAGTGGAGCAAACATTCTGTTCCGAAAGGCCTACAATCAAATCAAGCTGAAGCCCAAGCACCTTACGCCGGTACCCTACCCGGTATCCGGGTTCAATGGGGCTTGAACTTATCCAGATGGGAAGGTGACACTTCCTGTCACCATCGGTTGCGATGAGGCAGCCAGGAATGTCATGATTGAATTTTTGGTCATCGACGCTCCTTCAGTGTACAACGTGATTTTGGGGAGACCCATAATTCATGAGATCCAAGGGGTCGTCTCAACTTATCATCAGCTGATGATTTACGTCTCAGACGCCGGCTTCCCCGAAAGGATACAGGGCAACCAAAAGGACGCCCGAAGGTGCAACTACCTCAAACCATCCAATAGTCGCCCAGATGACAAGGATGAGGAGGAGAAAGAAAAAGAAAGAGAGCCGAGCACAAAAAAGCCGAAAGGCCTAAGTGCTTCGGCCCAAGGATCTGTACCCAGAGGTAAAGGGCCCGAAAGGGAAAAGGCTAGCTCTTCAGCTGAGCCGCAAGACTCAGAGAGCCAGCCGAAGAACAAAAAGACTAGGACACCTGCCGACATTGGCAGCAGGCCAGATTATGAAGAGTCCAGTCCATCAGCAATGGACATGGACCAACAGACTGAAACAGTTGAGTTGGCCGAAGGAGACGTTGAGAAATGTGTAACAATCGGGATGGACCTTGATCCGAACACCCGTTGTGAACTTATTCAGCTCCTTCGGGACAACAGAGATGTGTTTGCTTTCTCAGCAGCTGATATGCCCGGGATAAGTTCAGACCTCATCTCCCATAAGCTTAATGTTGACCCGACGTGTCGACCAGTTAAGCAAAAGAAGCGGAATTACTCCGCCAATAAGAACCGAGACATCGCAGCCGAGGTCAAAAAATTGTTGGAGGCAGGATTCATCGAACCTTGCCAATATCCAGAATGGCTAGCAAATGTGGTGATGGTTCAGAAGCCCAATGGTACCTGGAGGATGTGCGTTGACTTCACGGACCTAAATAAGGCTTGTCCAAAGGATTTATATCCCTTGCCGAGGATCGATCAGCTAGTCGATTCGACAAGTGGCCATGCCTTGCTTAGTTTCATGGACGCATTCTCGGGGTATCATCAGATCTTTATGCACCCCGACGATCGAGCAAAGACAGCATTCGTCACGAACGCTGGGGTGTACAATTACAAAATGATGCCCTTCGGATTGAAAAATGCGGGGGCAACCTATCAAAGGCTGGTGGATCAAGTTTTCGCCGATCTAAAGGGCCAAAACATGGAAGTCTATGTTGACGATTCGATCGTCAAAAGCAAAAAACCAGAGGACCATGTAAAGGACCTGGCTGAAACTTTCGCCACCTTGAGAAAGCATCAAATGAAGCTGAATCCGAAAAAGTGTGTCTTCGGCGTGAAGTCAGGGAAATTTCTTGGGTTCATAGTCAGCAAAAGGAGGATTGATGCCAATCCCTCTAAAGTCAAAGCGGCGCTCGACCTTCCTGAGCCGAAAACGAAGCGGGATGTTCAGCGGCTCACCGGAAGAATGGCAGCCCTCTCGAGGTTCATTTCCAGAGCTTCGGATAAGGGGTTACCTTTCTTCAAAGCCCTGAAACTCCCGAAAACAAAAGAGCTCGTTTGGGAG